ACCTTAACACCTTTGCTATAATGCTACTGCAAACCTGTAACAATTCACAGCTCCGCCATTATTGGGGATGCTTGCCCGCTTGTGCGCGCTAATAGGTGGATGACCGGCGTGCGGGTTGTAACCTGCAGACATTTTATCACTGGTGCTGGAGTTTAGAGTGGTGACTGGGTCCGTTTATAGCACTTGTTTATCGCCTGACGTGGGTCATGCGATTGTCGCCTCTCGCAAGAATGTCGGCCAAATCGGCCTCAAATAGGCATTTTGAAGTTCCGGTAGCATGTATAAGTACCGTATAAATTGGAAGGCAGGCAGCTCAAGAAATTTAATTTCAGGTAAAGGTGTTCTTAGGGAAAATAGGCAAACTTTACTCAGTAAGTTTTCGACACTGGATCTCCGAGTCGTGGCCAGACTGGAGAAGACGTTCACCAGACAAGCAACATTTCAAATGTGCTGGTACAGTTATATAATCATCTGGTGTAGGCGCCATTTGGCAGCTGCAATTTTTGTCACTCAGTGTTCGACAAAAGTATTAGGCGCAATACCGTAATGGCTAATTGGCAACCGTAATTTGCATCGATCCGGAGTCCGTCTGGGTCATCTGGTGTGGACGCTAGTTGCGGTTCACGTTGGTCCATGGCGGTCGGCTGTAGTCCGACAGAATTTTCCGTTCCAAAAAATGCCGAGACGTTCTTGAAGCCATGCACACCAATGATCCCTACATCAACCGACGTATCGATTTAGATGGAATGTACAAACATTTCAAAGAAGGATAGACGAGACTACAGCCAACCACTGCGGACCAATGGGAACCGCAGTTATTGCCCACATCGGATGGCCCGGAATGACCTCGGACCGACGCAAATTACGTTTGCCATTACGCTATGGCGACTAGTAATTTTGTCCACCACGGAGTGACGCAAATTGCAGCTGCCAATTAGCGCCCAAAGTAGACAACTATATAACAGTACCAGCATTTTTGAAATATTAATTGTTCGTTGCACAGCTTCTCAAGTCTGACGACGACCTGGAGATACAGTGTCGAAAATTGTCCTGATTCAAGTTTCCCTTTTTACCCAAAGAACGGTTTTCCTTGACGTGTATAAGTACTTTCACCAACAACTTGCCTCTTAGGATTCTCCTGGTTGCCCTTCTCCTTGCCGTGTTTCATCATTGTATATCGAGCGATCGTGAAGTTGCGGCGTGTTAACTTTAGTCCAGCAAATTGCAGTCGCCGGCTCATGTCATCGTCCTCACAACCCCACCCGAAGTAGGTATTGGCGAAGCCGAGCGTTTCCTCAAAGTGCTTCTTCCTCAACGCAACCGCGCCGCCAAACGAGGTGCTGTAGAATAGTCTTAATTTGGGTGGAAAAAAGAGAGAAGTAGTTATCACAAGCAAAACTAACGGCTCTTCCACAAGGAATTACAGACAACGCCTGCCCACCGGACGTGGACGCTCGCCCGAGTGTCTTACAAATCAGCCCGGAGGAAGTTTAGGACGCGCGTAAGCTCATATTCTCATCTGTTAAACTTGTCACAAAAATAGGATGCATGTCAGCTTTTGATTTAATTACAAGAATATATTACTAAAATACACTATCCGCTGGTCTTAGTAAGTATGATTACCAGAATTTGCAGTCTTAGCAGTGGCATATTACCTCATATTAGTAAAATGTGACACAGCTTTTGTTGGACGGAGGTGAGAGGGCGGAAACCAAAACAAGCTCTGCTGGGCTCTGAGTCCCAAAGATGTACTTACTCAGAATAGTTTAAACCCAGGTTCACACTTCTTGTTGGGATTAAGGGGGTATGGACCCCAGCGTTGGTTTTAATCGGCTTCACTTCTGACAAATGGTAGCGTAAGTGTTAGTACCAGTACCACTGCGCTTCTTTTTGAGATTGAGGCGATATGTACCCGGTGTTGACTTTAATGAGCGTCACTTCTGACTAATAATACAGCCGGAAATATTACCAACAACACCGTCACTCAGCTGCATCTCTAGTTAGTAGTATTAAAAATATCAGCAGCGGTAGTAGCAGTACCAGCCTTGTTTTCCACGAGTCTGGCTTGACACCTACTGAAGATGAGTGAGGGTAAATAGTGAGG